GGTCAGAATGGAGACATTCTCATTGCATCCCACCCTACATCAACAGGGCCAGTTTGTATTTTAGGGTCTAAAGTTTGCATCACCACATACCTTATACCATTTTTTTTATTTGTATTTTTGTATTTTGTATCTCTTTGGAAGTGACAGAAATCCAACTTGAAGTAGATTAAACATAAAGAAGAATGTACTGGATAACAAAATCCAATAAAGAGCTGAAAAACTAATTTACAAAACAAGTAAGTATGTCTCAGAAATAACTGAAACTAGGCTCTTAAATTCTAACATGAGCCTCTACATCTTTTACCTCAACTTATTCTTTCATCACTGCAGGACTATCTTCCTTCTCTTGAGGATGAGGAACATGGCTTCAAACATTTCCTGAACTTTACATTTATAGCTTTTCATTGAAAAGAGAATAACTTGGGCCGGCCGAGTGGCGCGATGGTTAAGAACTGGCTTGGGACGCCAGAGGGCCCCGGTTCGGATCCCACATATGAGGGCCAGTGACACTGCCCTCCACAGCTAAGATGCTGAACAACAGCTCAACCTGGAGCTGGGCTGCCTTGAGTTGCTGGTGACCAGTGTAGGCTGCAGCCCCTGTGGCAGTGGGTTGCCATGGGCTACCATGTGTAGCCAGCAGCCAGTGTGAGCGGCCCTCCAGAAACCGGCGACTGATCTGCCTCGCCCAGGATGAATGCAATGATGGTGCCAACTTGGGCCAGTGAAGCAACGTCCTCCACAACTAGATTGAAGAACAAAACAACAGCAACTTGTCTGTTCCCCCTCCCCCAATTCCCCAGTGCTGTTCCCATCCCCCCAATTCCCCAATAAAAATCTAAAAAAAAAATAAGAAAGAAAAGAGAATAACTTGTTTCTTAATTCAAATAAGAAAAAAATGATGAAGGGTTTTATTGACCTATCTTTAGACAGGTACCCCCACCTGGATCAATTATAGCTGAGGGTAGGATTATGAAAGAATAACAGTTCCCTGGGTAGTCAGGTGGATGGAGGCTCCTGAGATAAAAGTTGTACAGGGCCGGCTGAGTGGCTCGTTGGTTAAGAGCTTGCCCAAGAGTGTGAGCTCTGAGCAATAGAATCACCAGTTCAATTCCCACATGGGCCAGTGAACGCTGCTCCCTGAGCTGAGCTGCAGCTGAGCTGCCAACAGGTGGCAGGATGGCTAAGCTGGTGAGAGCACGTGCTCCTAACAACAAGGCTGCCGGTTCAGTCTACGCCCACCTGCAACTAAAGACTGAACTCAGCATCTTGAGCTGAGCTGCCACCCAGGTGGCTCAGGGAATAGAGCTCACTCTTAACAACAAGGCTGTCAGTTGGACTCCCACATGGGATGGTGGCTACGCCCACCTGCAACTAATTGAACACAGCACCTTGAGCTGAGCAGCACGACTGGACTTGGATCTGAGCTTGCTGTGCCCTCCACGACTAAGATTGAAGGTCAACTTGGCTGTGCCCCTTCCCCAATTCCCCAATAAAATCTTTAAAAAAAAAAAGTTGTACTTGGCTGACCACACCATAGATGTCCACTATGGCAGCCCTTAGGTCCTTTCCCATTCACAAAAACTTGGATAAGCTTGTCAAAGTATGGCATGGCTGGTTTGATCAAACCTTTTTTTTTTCTTTCCTTTTTTAAAAAGGAGTCAGTTCACCTCACTTCCTATGTGCCATTCTCTTGCCCAGACAACTAAAACATTCTGGATAGAACCTCCCCATAGGTAAGTCCTCATGTGCCCACCAGACTGGGAGATCCTTTAAGAAAGCACCCAGGATTAATTTATCCCCAAGTGTCTAGTGCCCCATGAAATTTGATCATAGATCAGACATTCAAACAATATTTGTAGAACTGGATTAAAATCTTTCCTCATTCTTCAGGAATCCATGAGGGCTGAATATTTTGGGCCCTGGAAAGGCTGAAAGCTAGAAGCTAAAAACAAAATGAAAATTAGTGGAAGACTGGGTAACCTAAGGTACTAATGGGAAGAAGAGAAAGGCCAACAAGTGTTGTTCCCTTAACAGAGAGAAGAACAAGAGATATAGGCTCTGATAGACAGGTTGGGAGAATACACAGTTAATGTGTTTGGCTCCAACCCTCTCTGAACCAGAGTCCTAGCAGCCAAGAGAGGGATTTGGAAGAAGACTGTCTATGGAGTTGGTAGATAAATGGGGGTGAGGGGAGTTAGAGTCCTTAAGTAGAACCAGACAACGCGTTAACTTTGCACTAATAGATAAACTCCATCTCTTATTATAATTTAGACATGGATGTTTGATCAAGATTGGCTTCCAAGCGTAGTTGTACAATGATGATACTTCAGGGCATAAGGTGCATTTCAGTGGTAGGGAGGAGTCACTTCTCCATGCTGTCCCTGCACAGGAGAGAAGGACTGACAAGGAGTGCACTGGATTATTAATCTACATGGTGGCCACACCCTGAGCCCAGGAGATCCTTGCTCAGAGTTCTGAAGGGAGGCTAGGATCAGTGGCTGCTTGTAGAAGTGGGAATTAGGTGGTGGTATCTGGGAATTCCCAGGCTACCATTCTCTAAAAGACCACAGACAGAAAGAGTTCTCCAGGGCATGGGTTCTTCCTCACCCATTCTCACGGCGCTTCCACTGCCCAGGCTCACAGAGGAAGCGTCAGAGCTGGAATCAGAGCAGAAGGAAAGGACAGCCCCCATCGTAGCCCCTCCCCTGGTTCCATTTTGCATACTCCTCCTTCTGGGGTGGAACAGGGGGATCCTCCCACCCTGAGACACTCCCACTGACTGTACTACTCTTCCTGTAGGACTCCTCTCTGGGACTCAATGTCTTCATCTGCAAAAATTAAGGGGTCAGGCTAGGTAACTCTGCAGGGTCTAATATCTTCTAAAATATTGAGGGTAGGGGTGATGTTGCAGCGCAAAGATAGGGGACCTGTCCAGATTATATACCCAGGTATTAGGTATAACAGATCAGAGGAGCCTGGCCAGGGCTCAGTCACTTGGTGAGAGGGAGAAGGGGCAGTCGGTGATGATAGCTAATTTATTTAATGTTGTCTATGTGCCAGGCACTATTCAGAGTGAGGGCTTGGATTTGATCCTGAGGGCAATGAAAGCCAATGATCCTGAGGGCAATGAAAGGCACTCTCCCACTTCTGAGACCCCTTGGGCTCCCTGTAGAGAATGTGTCATGGGAAAGAGGTGCACCTCACACATCAGTGGGGAGAACTTTCTGAAGCAGGTTTGCTGTCAGTTTTGGAAGTTTAGACCTAAAAAGTAATTAGAGAAAATACCTCAAATAACTCCCCTGACATGAAGGAGTGACAGAAGTTGGGGACAAGTGGTCCTTGTGTGAAACAAAGAATGGGTGGCCAGGGAAGTGGACGACCTGAGGGTATGAATGCTCCCCACTGTGCTAGTAAACTGGGGAGGGGGGTATCGGGGGGATATTCTGGGAGCCCTTCTCTCACCCCCCAAGGACTTTGGTAATGAGGGCGCCCTCTCACCTGACTTCTTGCTGTGTCTCCACTCCCCCATCTGCAGGACCTACCAGGATTTAGGTAGAGGGGGCTGGGAGCCGGGTGCAGAAGCTTCCCAATGCACCTTCGCTGAGCTGCTGAGGCAGAAGAGTTCTGTTCCTTCTCCTAAAAAGGATTCTGTGTCCCGTGTAGACTCCAGTGGCTGAGTCCACGGAGGACCGTGTGTGGCAGATCCAGACTGAGTCTAGGTGGTTTTTCAGGAGAAGAAAAGCTTCTCTGGAGAAGAGGGGTGAGAGGCTGAGGGAGAGAGAAGGGGTCACTCAGTTACTTCCTGTCCTGACATTCATCCCACACACTGTGCCAAGAGTACTGGGAACCATAGGGCACACCCGTGGCGGCGGGGAGGAGGACTGAGCTGGAGGAACTGGGAGAGGGGAGAGGCAGGCCGGGCCCTGAAGGTGCAGGGCAAGGTCGTGTGGCCTTCAGGACCAGGAGGATGGAGGGACCTCGGCTCCAGAGACCCGCCCCCTCGCCAGCAGCGCGCAACGCCCGCACCTCCTTCCGCGCGCCCTGGGCGCTCAGCTCTCCAAAGGCTCTTTCCCTCCGCCCTTCAGCCTTGGTTCCTCCGCTGTGTCTGTCTCTGGCCTTGTCTTTCTGAGACCGTCCCTCCGTGTGTGTCTGTCTCACTATCACTGCCCTGTTTTGTCTCATCTCTCTCCTGTCTCCATCGCAGTCCTTGTTTCCGTCCATGTCTCATCCCTGTACCTTCTCTGTCTCCATGCCGCCTTCCTCACTTTCTCCATGCCCCCCCTCTCTTATCCTGTCTCCTCTATCTCTGCCTTGTCCCCATCTCCATCCCTGCTTTTCTCTAGTCCATGTTTCACCTTTGTCTCCATCTCTGTCCCTGTCTTCCTCTTGCGCCCGTCTCCAATCTCCCTCTCTTGTCCATGCCTCATCCTTGTCTCCATCTGTGTACCTGTTATCTCTCGTCCCTGTCTGCGTCTCTGTCTCCTCTCTTCATCCACGCCCCCATCCCAGGCTCTATTTCTTCGTCGTCCTGGTATCCATCCCCTCTCCTGGGCCGTCTCCTTGGTCCCCGCAGGATGGGACCTCGCTGGGGGCGGGGCCGAGGGGCTGGATCGGAATAACTCGGTTATCAGGACGAATTGAATTAACTTCTTCACCCGAGCGCTGCCGGGCCTGTTTCCCCTCCCTTCTGCTGGGCCGCAGGTGGGGAAACCGGGGAAAAGGGTCGGGACCCTCTGGCCTGGCGTGATACTTAGAGACCAAAGGTCTGGTCTGGATTGAGATGGGATGGGGACTCTAGGGATGGGGTCCCGTGAAGCCCCGCCCTGCACCTCGGGAGCCCTCAGCAGGCGGCAAGGACTCTTCGGGGTGGAGGGGTCGGGGAAGGATGGGGGCGGGGCCTGGGTGGCCCAGGCCCCGCCCCGAGGAGCTCGCCCCGCCCCGCCCCCTCAGCGGAGTCCTGCGCGTTAAAAGGCGCGCGGGCCGAGCCTGGCTGCACTTGCGTCGCACCCGTGCGGAACGCGGCCGCGACGGGGCGGGCGGACTAGCAGGCGCTCAGAGCCGGCCTTGGGTCCTCGGCGCCTAGCGCTCGAACTCCCATCTCGACCCGCACCCGGCCGGGGACTTCGACCCCGACCCGGCTTGGCCCAGCCCCCGCCCTCGCCCCCCGGGCCGATGGACTACTCCTACCTCAATTCGTACGACTCGTGCGTGGCGGCCATGGAGGCGTCCGCCTACGGCGACTTCGGCGCCTGCAGCCAGCCCGGCGGCTTCCAATACAGCCCCCTACGGCCTGCCTTCCCCGCGGCAGGGCCGCCCTGCCCCGCGCTCGGCTCCTCCAACTGCGCGCTTGGCGCTCTACGCGACCACCAGCCCGCACCCTACTCGGCAGGTGAGCCCAGCCCCGGCCCTACCCTCCCTCCAAATCCTGCAGAACCCCTAGCCCCTTCCCTATTCGGCAAGTGATTGAGACTGTCCCCCAAGCCACCACCATCCCTGCCCTGCCCAGACAATGCCCCGCGGGACCCCCATTCCCCTCGTAAGACAGAGTTACCCTAGGCAGAGTTGAGCCCCACCCTGTCATCCTTCCCATTTCTCTTTCCCGCTGCCACATCCCTATCCCGCGCTTTTCCGGTCAAAGAATCAGATGGCTGGTCCAGCCTCAGGCCCCTCACCAGGCCCTCCCCTCCCCACCTGCAAAGATTGACCACCGAACCTCTCTATCCCCTGTATCCTTGGAAGAGGCTCCAGGCTCAGTTTAATCGCAAGCAGCTGAGCTTCCCAGATGGAAACCTTCCTAGAGCCCCAGTAACAGGCCCCTCCTGCCCAATTTTGGACCCATTCCACCTGTGTCCAAACCCTCTTGCACTACTGAAATCCGTTCTGTGACTTGAAGCAAAGGGTTTCCAGGTCACTAAGCCACTTTCATTTCCCCTAGAGACCCTCCCAGCTAGAGTCAAGCCCCTTGATCCAAGGCTCCTTCTGAACCCTCAGCCTCATGGAGCCTCTCAGCCATCCCTATCCTCGAATTAATAGTCCAGGTTGCCCCACCCAATCTCCTTATTTCCTTCCTTGCTGGGAAGACCACTGGGACCCAAGTAGAAGATTGGGGTCTGGGGGTGGAGGTGAGGAGGGATGGTGAGATAAGGACCTGGATTTGGAAAAGTGAGAGCCAGAAAAATGGAGCCAGAAACTGGAATAGGGATGGGGAGATCGGGTACTCTGGGCCAGATGTGGATGGGGACTGGGGACATGGAGAAAGGAAATGAGGAGATTGTTCCCAGAGAGATGAGGTTCTGAGATGAGGGAGATAGGAATAGGTACAGAGAGATGTGAGCAAAGATAGGAAGATTGGGGACCCTGGGAGAAATTGGGACCCAGGGTTGGGGAGGTGGAGATACGAACCAGGTGATAGAGACAGGAAGTATGGGAAATGGGGACCAAGGAAGACTGGAAACATGAGGACGGTGGGGATAGGAATGGAGTGTTGGAGATGAGGATTAGGGGAGATAGAGAACTAGGGAGATAAGACAAAGATGAAGGATATTGGGGACCCTTGGAAAAATATGGAGACCTAAACAGGGGTTGGAGAGGGGGATGGGGAGATAGTGTCAAAAACACTTTCAATTGGGGCAGTGGGGACTAGGATGGGTTAGGTGGGAAACAGGGATGGGAAGAGAGTGACGGGGAGGGCTGCGGCAGGCTTCTGGGGACCTGGGACACAGAGAGGTGTGCCTGGGAAGAAGAAGGGCAAAGAAAAGATGGAGGAACCTAGTTGGGGAGAAATAAGGACCCTTCCCATTGGACAAAGAGAATGGTCCAGAAGGGGAAAGTTGAAGAGAGATGGAGAGAGACGCAGAGGAGACACCTGGAGGAGAATGGGATGTGAGAAGAGGCTGAGGAAGTGAGGCCAGGGAAAGAGAGACTCTGATGGCAGGGCAGAGGGGAGTCAGATCAGTACCGCAGACAGCCCATGGCAGGATTGAAAGTAGACCCAGACAGGGGAGTCTCAGTCGCCCACCTGAGGTCCAGGACTGGTTACTGGGGAGAGTAGCGATGCTGATGAGACCTGACAGCTAGGCAAGGCTAGGGTGGACAGGGCAGGACCTGAAGTCAAGCGGGCTGTTCGACTGAGGGAGTGACACACCAATGGGAGTGTCAGAGGGACGAGTGGACTGGCTGGAGGTGGAGGGAACACGGCGAGGGCCAACGACGGGTCAGCGCCCTTGACCGGAGGATCAGATTCTGGTTCCCTCGCTGCTGCTTTTGGGTCTCCCTGCGCCCTGTCCGCCTTCACCCCTGCCGGCTCCTGCGAGCTATAGAGAGTACGAAGCAGAGGAGCCAGGCCAGGGGCAACTGTGAGCGATTCCCCTCAGAGGCATGACAGAGCGGGCCGAGCGTGCTCCCTCACGCCTCCACCCTCATTGCCACTCCCGTGCACACCCATAGTGCCCTACAAATTCTTCCCGGAGCCGTCGGGCCTGCACGAGAAGCGCAAGCAGCGGCGCATTCGCACCACGTTCACGAGCGCGCAGCTCAAGGAGCTGGAGCGCGTCTTCGCTGAGACCCACTACCCCGACATTTACACGAGGGAGGAACTGGCGCTCAAGATCGACCTCACAGAGGCTCGCGTACAGGTGCGTGTTAGCGCGCGTGTGTGTACGGGAGTGTACCCGCGGAGGGGGCAGGAGGTGTAGTGCCCAACACCTGGGAGGCCGCGGGACAGAGACCTAACTCGGCAGCGGGCAGGTGCATCCTGCAGGAAGAAAGCTAGGGAAGGTCAGGGGCCAGGACACAGGCTGGGGATAGCTGGGCAGGAGAAGACGGGCAGCCTGGGGAAGTGGTGAGGACAGGACTTGGCAGACCTGAGGCCATCGGGAGAAATGAACTGTTCAGCCCCACGATTTCCCTTCAGCCCCCTTGGAAGGGACGGGCATGCTGTGGTGCTTGGGAAGCCAGGACGGAGGCTGATGGGTAAAGGGGGTGCCTTGGGTGGTCTCAGGGCCCAGAAAGGCGGAGGACTGGAGGAAAGCGGGTCAGTTCCTCCGGGTCCCCTCTCCCAGCTCTGCAGCTGTGAAACCTCTGAGCCTGGGGCAGGCGCAGGGCTGAGGAAAGCTGCGGCAGGGCGGACTGTGTTGTCTGTCTTACAAATCCGAGTACAGATGTCGGACTGGCCCGCCTTACTGGAGACCCTGGACAAAAGGTTTCTTCTAGCGCCCTAAGCCTCTCTACACCGCCGCGGGACACTCGAGGCGGGTACTCTCAGAAATCTTTTAGGACGGAATTTGGGGGACGGGGCCTTGGGTGATGAGGAAAGTGATGGAGGTGTCCCCTCCAGCGGGGTCTGCGGGTGAGCAGATCCCAAGGGGAAGAACCCTAAGGACCTGAAGGACGGGGCAAATTGAGGAGAGACGAGCTGAGTGGTGCAGGACCGAGAGGGGCCACGCTGGGAAGGCTGGTGAATATCCTGACCCAGCCCCTTCCGGACCGAGGACTCACCCGCGCCTTGCGGCCCCAGGTGACCAGCCCCTGTGCCCCGCAGGTCTGGTTCCAGAACCGCCGGGCCAAGTTCCGCAAACAGGAGCGCGCGGCCAGCGCCAAGGGTGCAGCGGGCGCAGCGGGCGCCAAAAAGGGCGAGGCGCGCTGCTCGTCAGAGGACGACGACTCCAAGGAGTCCACGTGCAGCCCAACGCCCGACAGCACCGCGTCTCTGCCACCGCCGCCCGCGCCCGGCCTGGCTAGCCCGCGCCTGAGCCCCAGCCCACTGCCCGCCGCCCTGGGTTCCGGTCCTGGCCCCGGGCCGGGGCCACAATCGCTCAAGGGCCCGTTGTGGGCCGGCGTAGCGGGCGGTGGGGGCGGCGGGCCCGGCGCGGGAGCGGCCGAGCTGCTTAAGGCCTGGCAGCCAGCAGAGCCCGGGCCCGGGCCCTTCTCGGGGGTTCTGTCCTCTTTCCACCGGAAGCCCGGCCCCGCCCTGAAGACCAATCTCTTCTAGCCGCCGGACTCTGGAGGCTCCGGGCCTGCCCCCAGAGATGCCCCTGCTCCTCCAGGACCTGACAGAGTCCCTCCCCATCCCGGCCACCTGCCTGGAAGTCCCCATCCGTCCCCACCTCCCACCGTGTCTGACCCCTAGGTGTGCCCTCCCCAGCTTTGGAGACCAAGTCGGGGCCACTCTCATCCTCACCTACCCCCCACCCAGCAGAGTGGGGTACTTTTCACCGGGACCCCCCCTCCCCCCTGTCCCAGGAGAGACGAGTCCCTTCTAGCTTGGCTTTCTTTGGAACCGGGATCAAGTAACTCCTGTCCCTAACACAGTGCTCAAACGTGAGGGTCCTCAAGGAGGAACAGCCGGCCTCTTCCCCCCCTCGCTCTGCAGCAGGCTGGGTCATTCATCTTGGTGACCAACCAGCTGCCCCGCCCCTGGGGCCCACCCACACTGACCCCACCCATGCAAAGGCCGGTGGTCACAGGAATAATCAGCAGCCTGAAGGGTAGAAACCGCCTATTTTGTCCCTCACGCATTTCCTCCCATCCGCAACAGGTCTGGCGCAGAGGGTAGGCCCCTTAGAGGAGTGAAGGGGCTGCCAGGACAATGGGACAGAGGGGTTTCCTCTTGATTTTTTTTGTTGTTCTTTTCCTTTCTAAAACTTGTAATTTATTGAGGTGAGTTTTGCTCAATCCAAATAAAACTTAATTTATTGAAGACATCATGTTGGCAACCCCTCTGAGTACCCAGGTTGGGGATAGGCTGCCTCAAGGGCCCAGTCCCCCACGCTACCAGGACCAGCAAGGACCCACGCATCCCCACATAGGGTGGTACAGACCAGGAGACAGCGAGACCTAAGCAAACTGGCACTTTATGGCAGAAATCCTCCCCCATCCCCTACAGGCCCCAATAATATCAAAGTGCCCACCCTCCCTAAACCCACACAAAGTTTAAATAAACCCCAGCCCGGTCCTCGGGCTGTTCCTTCATTTCCGGATGGTCACCCCAGAGTGAGGGTTGGGGAGAGATCCTAGCTGCGCCCCTCCACCTGTAATTCACGCTGGAGGAAACAGCGATGAAAGTGGGGGCCCAAGACGTACCCAAATGGATCCCTCGGGCACCCCTGGGGCTGGGAGGAGGAGTCCAGAAAGGGAGGACAGCACCAGAATAACCGAGGTCCTTGGTAACCACGGCAACTGATCTCTGGCGCCCCGACCAAAAGGTGAGGGGCAGGATGTCCTAATTAGGGCATTCCAAATGATTGGGCAGTGGGGAGCGCAGATCCCCAATAAATACGCAGAGAGGTACTGCCACGCCCCTCATAACTTTTCAACTCCCGCGGCAGGGCTGGGTCTTCGTGGGGGGCGGGAGGAGCTCTAGGTTTGCAGCTTCGCAGTGCCACCACTATCACTTGCTGAGCTGCAGGGTGTCCAGAAGCAGGCGCTTGTGAGCTGGGTCCTGCACCCCAGCCTCCTCCAGGTCCTCCTCGGTGATGTCGCTGTAAGGGTAAGAGAGTCTGGGAGATGGGTGAGGTGCTCCCGAGGGCCCGTAGCTCCGCCCCCGGGGCCAGATCCACCCCACCCGCCTCCAGCCCCGCCCCCACCTGAGAAACTCCAGGTCGTCCCAGCCATTGTGCACCAGGCCCTGCTCATAGCGCTCCAAGCCGATGGCCCGCAGCCAGGCGCCCATGCCCGCCTCGCCCAGCCCGCTGGCCCGCCCGCCCTGCGGGCACGGAGCCTAAGGGAATAGGGCATGTCAGGGGAAGCACTGAGGGTGCCCACACACACAGAAGCACCCAAAACAGCCACATTCTGCCACGTGCTCTGGAGGTAGGGGGAGGGAAGCAAGGCCTGGGGCTATATCATATGTCGCCCAACTCCCCAGTGCCCAGCTCAGGGTAGAGGGGTGACCACTAAATGTTGAATGGTGGAGTAAAAGATTATCACAGTTCATGGGCAAGCACACACCTCAGGTACACACAGCCAGCCACCCCTGGTCCACACACCTCCTCTGCCAGGTCCTCCTGAATGCTTTCTCGGATGCGAGGTGGAGGGAAGCTGAGAGGCCGGCCATAGTCGGAGGGCAGTCCCCGAGGTGGCTGCAACTCCAGCGGGCCTGGCAGGAGCACTGAGCGGCCAGGCCCAGCCGGAGCGTAGTCCACCTCACTCAGTGTCTTGGCCATCTGCAGTACCGAGCAGGAGCGATCATCCCCACTGGCTACCTCCCCCAGGAAAGTGCTGGAGGGTGAGGGACCTGGGGGAAGTGGGGGTCTTGGATGGGCCTTGGGAGGTGGTGGGCCACGGGCCTCACCCCCACCGCGTCCCCGCACCACTGGCCCTGGCAAAGGATCCAGGCTGGGGGGCAGGAAGATGGCCGAGTCCGGCAGTGGTGGGGGTGGGAAGTCTGGAGGGGGCAGTGTGCCTCCAGATTCCTCATCTGATGAGCTCCCCTCTCCCACACGGGGAGGCCGATGGCGCCCAAGCTGTGGAGCAGGCACTGTGATGGCCACCTTGTTCTTGGTGGCAGGCGGGCCAAGAGCCCTGGCAGGCGAGGGTGGCTCTGGGGGCAGCAGCTGGTGTGGGACCCCTTCAAGGACGTAGTAGGCAGGGTTATTGAAGCTGTTCTTGAGTGGGGGGACCACTACCCCTTCCGGCTCTGGAGCCCCCTCTGGCTTCAACCTGGGTAAGGGAGCAGGATAATTAAGTCAGGACCCAGGAACCCAAATTGAAGATAGCAGGTGCAGTGGAAGGAAAACCAGATTTGGAGCCGGGAGACGTGGGCCCCCGTCCTAGACTTGCATATTATCTTGAGCACATCACTTTCCCTCTCTGGCCCTTGGTGTCCTCATCTCTAAAATTGTGGAATGGGGTAGTTGAATGGATAACACCTAAACTTCCTTGCCTCACTTGCTGAGATTCAGATCTTTTATGACTTTGTAACTGTGAAACCTGAGTGTAAAAGGGTGAAAACAGGTGCCAGAAGGCAGGGCAATAAAAGCCTTTGATGAGAATGACCAGCCCAATTTGGAAAGTCTCCAGAGGCATCTGAAGGGCCAGTCTACTGAGGAATCTTACTCAGGAATTCAGGTTAGTTTTATGCAAGTTTGGTGATAAACCAAGGTGATTGATAACAGCTGAAGATGAGTGAAAAAAGCACCAAACTGGACCTAGGAGTTTTTATTTAAGTTCAAGCAACAATCGGATATAATTAGAAAGCAAGCCTTCCTTTCCCAAAGTATGATCCACAGAACACTAGTTCCCCAGGATATTAATAGTTATTGTGTGGAAAAGAAGTTTCCTGGCCTATTAAGTTTGGGAAACTATTCAACAGAGTTGAAAAAGGATTTCCTTCCTGTCCACATGCTTAGAGCTTTTGCTAATGCTAATATGCATTGGGAATATCTAAGAAAAGAATCTAGCAAAAACCATTTCCCAAACTCATTTGATCACAAACCCATTTCTATCTTGTAGGACAGTGCTCCACAGAACAGGCCAAGAGAAATCCCAAGTTGAAGCATGTGCCTTCTCCACACAGAAGGCTCAAGCTGTTTACGCAGAGGGAGCTGTTGCAGAAACAATTTCTAATTCTATTTTTTAAGGCAGAATTGAGAGGAAAGACTGACTGTGCTCCCTTTGACTCAGAGAGCCACACCTAAGGGAGGCCTGGCTAGCCAGAGTGGCCACAGGCGTAGGGCTCCGGCACCTCCTGCCCTGGGGCGGCACAGCACCCAAGCAGCAGAAGCACCACAGGCTGGCACTGCAATGGATAAAGTGTGTGTGGGGGGAGGTGAATGACAGGTTCTTCTCTCACCTGGGTGTCAAGGGCTCTTCCCGGGGAGCTGCTCGAGGTGGGGCTGGGGGCCTCCCAGTTGGCGGTGGTTTCTCTGGTTCTTCAATTAACTTGGACAGTGGGCAGGAGGCCTCTGTGGGGGCTGGCTTGCGGCTCCCTGACCTGCCAGGGGTGCGCACAGCAGGGAAGATGAAGTGGGGGCTAACCAAAAGCCCCCGGGTACCCCTTTACATGACACCAAACACAGCCCCAGCTCACCTGGGCTCCTGGCTGCCTCGGGACACAGAAGGGGCTTTGCTCTTTGCTCCTGCTTCATCCTTATCAATGCTGATCCACTCTGGAGGAGGGAGAGAAAGGAGACTCAGAGGGGACCTGAAGTCCTGGATCCCAGACACCCACTGACCTTCTAACCCCTTCCCAGCTACTTCTCAGGGTAGGCCCATTGCCAGCCAGGGCTGCAGAACCTCCAAATACTGTCTTCCAGGAATTCCAACATGCCCTCCCCCCACTCCCAGTCCTCACCTCCTAGATCTGCCCACACCACCCCATCTCATGCCCTACACCCCTCCCAATGGAGCCCCCACCGTAGAGCCGTTCACGGGTGCCCAGGCGCTCTGTGGGCACCCGCACCTTCATGGAGCCACGGATGTTGCCTGTCTCCTCGCCACGGTGGGACAGGAAGGTCAGGAACTGCTGGGCTGTGCTGCCGATCATAGACTTGAGCGCCACGACGCACTCCCCTGAAGAGCAGAAGGAGCAGACCAGCAGACTGCCAAACCTTTCTAGGACCCTACCTGGCCTCCTATGCCCCTTGGCATCCCTCACCCCTTACCGTAGGATTCGTAGCCATCCATGGACTTGACTGTGAGAAGGAGGTGCTGGTCCTGCAAGTACTCGATGTCAGCAAGAATCGGCTTGAGCTGGGGAGAGAAGAGACCTAGTAAGGAACAAAGCCCCCCCCCCCCTCCTGCCCGACTCCACTCACCCCACCCTCAGACTCAGGCATGTTCACTCCCACTCAACTCTTAAGAAAAGGTCCTAAATCCTTAACGTAGAAGACACAGCCCCACATGGGCCTTTCAAAGCACTTAATAGCACTGTAACTAATTAATTTTCTGCATCCTCAAGGGCCAACACAGGACTTGACATTTAAGAAAGGCTCAAAAAGTATGTATTGAATGAATGAACAAACTGTAATTTGGTTCCACACCTCCCAAATAAAGCAAACACCCTCACCCTCACTCGTGCCCACCCCCTACCCGACCACATGCACACACAGGCGTGCACCCTGCTGGCTCTGCCTGACGTCCCAGGCAAGCCCCCGAATTCACTCTGCCACACACCTCTCTCTGTGCCCTCACCCCAAGCCCAGGCCCTGCCTGCAACCTCACCGTGGGCAGCTGGCGTGAGGACCACTGCACTTTGAGGAAGTTGATGTTGTCACTGCTCTGGGCATCATTCTCGAAGCTCTTCTTGTACTCTGGGGTGGGGGTAGGGGACACACAACTGAGTGCCACCTCCTGGCTACTCTTCCCCCTAACTAGGGGGCTGACTGCTCTGGGCACTTCTGGCCTCCCAACCCCCTTGACCCACTCCAGCCCTGGGCCCTCTCTGACCCTCCAGGCAGGTGGAGTAGAACTCAATGAAGAACTTGGTGCGGCTGGCAGTCTTCACAATGGCCTCAATGCTCTCAAATTCAATGTAGGCCTGGTCTGAAGTCTTTGAGAGCCCTGAGGGGCAGGGGGAAGAAGGCAGACAGGAGCGCTGAGAGGGCGACAGGAGGAACAGGATAGAGAAACTGGGACAGGAAATTAGGGGCCCTGGCAGAGCAGAAGGGAAGGCCAGGAGGGTCCTCCTCAGTGCCAAGAAACTAACAGGAAGACCCCAAAGCTCAGACCCTGGATCAGGGCAGACAGACAATCCAAGGATGAGAGGCCATCTAAGAGGGGGCCGGGCAGGAGAATGCCTCAGGGATTACCCGCCAATAATCCACCATACCACCAGGCACACTCAGGGGCACACATGTGGCCCCAGGCAGACACACATACATGTTTACATTCACACATATACACACATACTCATGGTCATGATGACCCAGGCACACAGATACCCTCATACATCATATTCAGAAACATCCCTGCATGTACATGTATGTACACACACATACACACACACACACATACACACATATTCAAACAATGCACATCCCAGGCTTCCACCTGTGCCCACCAGATGTGTGCCATACCCACAAGCACATCCAGAATAGTCACCTTTCTTGGAGATGAACTGAGAGGTAACTCCAACCTCAAATGTCCCAAACACGGGGGAGTGGTCGCTGGTGACAATATCATCGGTACAACCTTGGGAGGGGGACAGGAATAGGGGGTTAGGGGAAAGCTCTTTACTCTCTGCTCTCACTTCCCAAAGTTGGGGCAGAGTCAGGACAGTGACCACCCAGGATCGCCCATCACCCTGTCAGGGAGGCTCTGACCATAGGAGTTGCAGATGATGTGGGTCTCGGGATAGGATTTCCAGAGAATCCGGTCACACCATGAAGGCACATTGGTCCGGACCTAGGGCAGGGATGGCAGCGTGGTCAGGGCTAGGAGCTGGGGTTTGCTTATTGTGAGCCCCCCACACCCCCAGAGCTGATGAGGCCCCACACCTATGGCCTCAGAGGGGTCATAGATGCTAGAGTGCTAACTGCAGAGGCCCACACCCTTGACCCCCACATACACTCTTGATTCACTGCAGCCCTGGGTGGGGGAACAAGGCCCACCCTGTTCCTACTCACCCCAGTTGGCTTCTGCTTGTGCCAGGCATATGTGTCCCGGGAACCCCGCTCGTAGCGGTAAGTGGGCGGGAAGGAGATCTCCTCCTCACCTAGGGGAGGCAGGGGACAGGGCTCAGGAATACCACAGACCTCTGGCCCTCAGAGACCTCCTACTGGGCCCACACTCACTGAATCGAAGGAAGACCTTGTGCTTTTCCCGCTCCAAGTTGAGCTGGTCCACTCTGAGCAAGGGCTCAAACTCCTTCCTGCTGATGTAGTTCAGGATCTCCTAGGGTGGGGACACAAAGGCTGGAGACTTTCCCTCGGTGAGAGCCTCTGACCCCCTCTGCCCAGCCATCCTACCAGCTACCCGCCCGGCCCTGCTCACACCTGGATATCCATATCCAGGCGGTAGTTGAGGTCGCCAAACCAGAAGAGGTGAGTGAAACGCAGAGAGATGTCGAAGGCACTGAGCTGCCGGTCGCCCAGAGAGAGCAGCCGCAGAATGTCCAGGTAGTTCTGGTTCCGCCTATGGTGGGGATAGGGGGAGGTCCCAGGGTCAGGACTCAAGGACAGGAAGAAAGGTAAGAAGTCTCTAGAATCAGGGATGGCATAGGGATCAGGATCCCTAGGGACGGAGGAAGATCAAGGTCAGGGACAGACAGAAGGGTCTTGAATTGGAATAAGGCAGAAGGGGATCTCTGGGGATGGGGATATAGGCGGGTCATGGACTGGGATATGGGAGGGGGATAGGTCTCAGGCAAATAGGGCATGAGGATAAAGAGACTATTTGGGTAGGCACTCCCTCACCGGGCAGTCTTCTCATTTCCCGAGGTGAGGTGGCAATTCACAAAGCCAAATGAAGTGCCATTGAACATGAAGGAGACACCCACAGCCCCCTTGTTTCCTGTCAGGGCAACAAGAGAGGAAGGCCCAAGTCACCCTCGGCTGGCTCCCAGCTCTCTCCTCTGCCCCTCGAAGCAGTAGTGGGAAGATCTTCCTAACCCACCCCATCCCATGCTAGGAGGCTGATAGGCCCCTGAACACACACCCACACCTTCCCTGGGGGTCCACATAGGGCACATACAGTCCATCTGGATGGCCTGAGTTTGTCTGCATATGTGAGCAGAGCCCATGGAGATCACAGAGGATCCCAAGGGTGAAGCTGCAAGGACCTACAGATTCTGGGCAGAATCTACCCTGGGGGAGCACTGGACTGCAACCAATAGACCTAGGCACTATACCAGGCTCTACCACATACTAGCTGTGTGACCTCAGGCAGGTCACTCAACCACTCTGGGCCTGAGTTTTATGATCTATGAAATGGAGATAATTATCTTGCCCTGCCTTCCTGATGGGGCAGGAAGAGATTTAGACTATGAACATGCTTTATAAAGTTCAAAGAGTTCTATATATGAAAAAGTTAAGACCACCAAAAATGGGGAGATCCTAAGCTGGAGGAAGCAGGTGTGGATAGACAGACCCTGCCCAATCTGCTCACCCAGGGTGTTGGCAATGCCAGTCTTCACACTGGACGTACTGACGTGGCTGATGCGGTTCTCGTGCTCTGGCTTGACCAGCACAGCCACCTTGATATTCCACAGTGACTGCATAGCAATCTGGGTAGAGGATGCAGTGTCACCTCTGCCCTGAGCTGGGCCATTATCCACACCAACCAACTCCCGTCCCAGCCCATACTATAGACTGTTCTGGCAGGCACAGGATAGGAAGGCCTGCTATCTTTTTTTCTGAGGGACCAGAGAGAAACAGACCATCCCAGAGCATGAAGGACATGTTAGATCTCCTAAAGGATATACTCATGGAGAGGGTCAGCCAGTCAAGTTGTGTTCCCCAGGATCACTATGCGGTCAAGCAGAATAGTTTGGGGGTGGTGTGTGAGGAGAGGGGACTGGACAAGATAACCCCCCTCACCGGGCGGTAATCCAGATCTGTGAGCTCCTTGAGGCCCCCACGGAGCAGGTCCAGCCACTCTCGGTCACCCACCGAGTTCTCCTGGGTCCCAAAAACATAGATGTCATGGGGTATGGTTACTGTGACCTCATCCAGGGTCTTCCCCAGACCCTTCGATGTGAACCAAGATGTCACATTTTTCGGAGGTGGCACACTTCCTGGAGGTGGAGGGGATAGGGAGTGGTCAGGCCCCTGCCCTGGGGCCATTTCTCTTCCCACCTCATCCCCTGTCCCCGGGCCTGACCCATGTTCCAGGTGCCTATGAAGACAGAGATCATGTCAGGCTCATCCTGCTTCGAGTGCTTGTTCTTCATGAGCTGCAGCAACTGGCAGAAGGCCTCCCGCTTCTGGGGAGACAGCAGCCAGTGAGGGGCAGGTAGGCAGCCAGGGAACCCCCTTCCACAGGGATACCCTGCTAGGTGACAGGTACCATAAGGGGAGGGTCATGCCTGTCTGGTTCGCCACTATATACCCACTACTCATGCATATAACAGGTACTCAATAAATGTTCATTGAATGAGCATTTGAATCCATCCTCAGGCCACCCACTCCCCGTATACATACCCTCTGCCCTGTCAGACCCACCCCTGCCAGGAATGATGACATGCTTGTATCATTTGTTCCCTCTTCCCGTCCCATGGGAACCCCTATGGCCCCCAGTGGCCTGGCCCAACCTGCTGCTCACCCGGGCACTGACAAAGATGAAGTCCTTGCGCTGTGTCCGGTCCTTCTCCTTCTCAAATACAACGCCCAGCTTATTTTGGACACGCTGGGACTTAATGAGCTGGCGAACTAGGGGATGGAGGATGGGTCACATTGGCCTGTGCTCCAAGATCCGGGGCTGTCCTGTCCACCCTCCCAGGTCAGGCCCTGGCTCACTGCGGTCATGCGTGAAGGTTGTCCAGTCCTCCTGCGAGTCCCGCTGTCTCCGCAGCAACACCAGCCGCCCACCCTCCACATCCACGCTCAGCGTGAACTTTTGTGATTTCCCAATCTTGGTCAGGTCACCCAGGGTCACATCCAGCTTTACCTGCAGGCCAGGAAGTAAGGAGGTGCTAAAAAGACCTTGGGGCAGGCAGCACCCCCTTCACCCCATGAGGCCCCACCTGGCACCCCCTGCCATGTACCTCAAAGGCCTGCACAGGGATGGTCTTGGCCTTACGAGTGGATGGCTGCAACGGAGCCGGGGGGGCTGTGGAACTCATATCCTGTAGGGCCTTCAGGGCCTAGAGGGGGCAAGGTCAGGGGATAAGGTCAGAGGGCTGGGGCCAGGAGAGGCACAGTTGAGGTTACAGGTCAATGCTAAACTGTAGATTCAGGGTTGAGATCAGCTAGGCCAATGCCAGTGGTCAGGGACTGGTAGGTCAGAGGTCAGGAGTCAGGCTACCTTCTTCTGGATGCCTGACAAGAAGTCCTTTAACACTGATAGCTTCAGCACCAGGCTCTCTAGTTCCTGCTCCCCAGTCTGTGGTGGGTTCTGCAGGGAGAAAGAATGAGGCTTGTACATGAGGCCACCCACCAAGCCTCAGAACATGAACGCATTCCCCAGAGGTCTCCCCACAATCCCACCTGTTGCTGCAAAAGGCGGGTCACCATGGGTGAGCTCTGCTGGTCAAACACCTTGGACAGGATCTCCAGGCCTGATAGGACCTTGTCCACCTCACTAGGAGAGACACAAGTCAGAACTCCCCACCCCAATCCAAATACAGGGAAGGGAGGGCTGCAGCCTCTACCACAAGGATACAAGGGTTCAGGTAAGAAAAGTCAGGAGGCAATGACTGGATCCCTGTTCAGGGCTAGAGGTCAGAGGTCAGGGCATTTGTGCAGCAGGGGGAATAGGTGAGAACAGGTAGGAGGTAAGTGGGCAGCGCACAGTGTTGGGCATCCCAGGTACCTGTGCAGCCTCCGGCATGAGGTGGCAAGGGTGCGGGTGAGGTGGGGCAGATTGCTGGCTCCGCTCCGAACAGCCTCCAGGTCCAGCCCGTAGCTGCCCTTCAGGTACTCATGCGAGACAGTGCTCAGCCCATTGGGAGCACTTCAAGGAGGGGTTAAGAAGTCAGTGGAGGTCCTGCTGACCCTGTCCAAGCACCCCTACCCTAGCCCTAGAAATGATACTGGTGACAATCAAAAGTGCCATGGATCAGGGTGTCTGTCTCGGGCTGAGATGGGATGGGAGTCCCTGAGAGTGGGGCCAGGGCTTAGGTCTCTCCACCTTTGATGAGGACACAGTTCTCGAAGGAGAAAGGGACTTCCTGCTTAGTGGAGGGTGTTGAGGTCTTACCTCTCAGCAGCTGGAGTTGTGGGGGTCTCAGGGGCTGGCGGGGGGCTGCTGGGCCCCACAGGGGCAGAAATGCTGGTGGAGCCAGAGCGCGGGGGCAGCGGGGGCTTCTCATCCTCCCCATCTGTGGACAGGGGTCAGTGGGGCATCTTTCTGGGCCTCCTGCCCTCAGTGAAGTATGGGGGAGTGCCATGGTGGTCAGAAACATCCATGGAAAGGGGGTAAAGGGCCCTGGCATCATGGTTAGGGGTAGGGGGCTTTAGGGGAAGTGGGTTGAGAAGATGGGATGGGAAGAAGCAGGTAGTGTCTGAGCACTGAGCAGGTCAGACATTTGCACACTGCACACCGGGTGGCACCTGAGGCATCACGGTCGTCCGAGGGGTCTGGCTCTCGCTCCCTCTCCACAGGCAGCAGCAGGGCACACACGAGGCCCTGGTTGGGCTGGGCGTACAGGCCGATGAGCTCCCCCAGGGTCTGGAAGCAGCGCACAGGCACGCCTTGCGAGGTCTGCAGCCAGCAAGGGTAGGAGAACGGTTAGCCAGCCAATCCCAAGCCATAGGCTAGAATTAAGGTCAAGAGTCAGGGTCCAAACTCCTACCTGCACAGCCAGGAAGTCTTCTCCATCAGGTAAAATTCGATATGTGTGCACATGCTTCTGATACCTGATGGCAAGGCAGGGGTCAGAATCTGTTACCCCAAGGCTGGGGTTTAAGCCCCAATGCGCCCTCTCCTCCTGCCACTGTGCTCAGACCTCAGCCCTTTCATTTTGGTTTCCCTAAAACCATTTTCCCAGGCTGCACAAGGTAAATGATGGGACCTGTCCACATCTATCCTGCTACTGTCACCAACAAGCAGAACCCCATCCCCCACCCAAGACCTACACAGTCTCCACACCCACTGCAGGGCCTGAAAAGCAACAGGCAGCTCTTTTGTGGCCTCCACAGCTGTCTAAACAGCCCCTCTGGGCAATGGTACCAGTCTGGGTCCCCCGCCAAGTAAGAGTCCTCAGAAGCCTGGGTAACTGCTGTTTACATGCATGGGCGATGTGCTAACACACGTGTGCCTGCTGTCTGTGTTTACGTTGGTGTCTAACTCTGCTGAAGTTCGGTGTGTCTGGGGCAGTTTTGGAGTGTAGGGGTATTACCCTAGGGATTTCTCTCCCTTCCCCTAGACACCAGGAAACTGGGATGATCCAAGGGGCCCCCTAGAGGAGACTAGGCTTCTAGGAGCCCCAAACTGAGGAGGGGCAAGAGGAGTGTTGACAGATGGCAGCAACAGCTGAGCAGGTGACAGCTGAACCAGGCCTGGGTGGCACAGACCATACTCTGTGGGGCTGGAAGACTCCCTCTGCAGCCACACTTCAGAGTAGTCTTGCCCAAGGGAGTCACCCGGTCCTGTGTATATTGGACAGGAATGGGTGTTGGCCCCAAGAGAAGACCAAATGCCTGTTTGAGAAGACCCTATACCTTGGCCACAGGCCATTCCCTTCCCTCAAGTAAGCCCTTTCTTGGCTGCCAAACAAACACAAGCCATGCAGGTGTCTCTGTGTGAATGGGTGTGTTGGTTTGTGGACTGTGGACCTATGTTTATAACAATAATAGCATCCCATTAACTGAGCCCTGTCTCTGTGACAGGCCAGGTACTCAGCACCCTACAGACATGATCTCATTTAATCTTCACTTTTTGAGGCAGATATTATCCCCATTCTCCAGAAAAGGAAACTGAGGCTCACAGAGGAAAAGTAATCTAAGGTCACAAAGCAAGTAAAAGGCAGAGCTGGGATTTAAAGCCAGGGCAGATGCCAGGGCCTATAACCTGGCCTGCTGGTCAGATTGCCTGCACCTGTTGGGGCAGGAATGTGTCCTGAATGTTACCCATATACATGTGGATGTGTATACAGGTAAGCAAATGTGTTTCACCCCCAAGCCCCGGAGATGCATGGAGTAGCCAGAGTCAGCTGGCAAAGCTCAAGTACCCCGGCCACAGACCCTCACCCCACCCATTTCCTCTCCTGGAAATGGAGCCAGGAGTCTCCCCTCCTGGGACAATAACTTTCCTCAGCCAGACACAGGCCCAGCTGTTCCCCTCCCACTCAACAGCTGACCCAGCACCTGCCTCCCTCCCCTCCCTAATTAGGGGATAATGCCTTAGAGGGGACTAGGAGGCAGGGCTCTAGGATATTCATCTGCCTAGGCTGTCCCTCTTTAGTCTTCCCTGCTGAGCCCCAGAGTACGCTGAGACTTAGAGTGCCTCTTTCTCTTTAGGTCCACTGCCTAGGTCAGGGTTTCTTAACCTCAGCACTACGAGTGTTTTGGCCCCTAAAATCCTTTGTTATGAGGGACTGTCCTGTGCTTGTAGGATGTTTAGCAGCATCTCTAGCTTCTACCCACTAGATGCCAGTAGCACCATCCCAGTTGTGACAACCAAAAGTGCCTCTAGACATTGCCAAATGTCCCCTGAGAGGTAAAATCAACCCCAATTGATCGCCAATGCACCCACAAGATGTAAAGAGAACAGAGGGGGAAGGAACAGAGGAATAGGGGGTTTGGTAGTCTCATGAGGCTGAGAAACATAACTAGATCTAAACCAGGGGTTCTCAACCTGTGGGTCGCGACCCCTTTGGGGGTCGAACGACCCTTTCACAGGGGTCGCCTAAGACCATCGGAAAACAAAAAGATATTTACAT